CTCTGTCAAAAATCAGGTTCTATCAACGCCAACTTGAGTTCTATGCGTTTGGGGGGGATTCCTGTTGCTGTGACATTTAGGGGATATCCGTGGAATGTTTTGACCGGTGACCACAAACACCATACACCATACAAATCAATTAACTGGCCTAAATACATTTGAGGAAATAATAAACACAAATTTCTTCATTCTGTAGCTTGACATATGACATTCGTGACGTCAGGCTGATAACGCGTAACAGCCCCTAGGGAAAAATCCTCCGGACGCTAATGAACATAAGCGGGAAATGTGGTAAGCAGTTGGGGACACGAAGATCAAAGGGACTGACAACAGGTAGCATCTGTATAATCTGTGCCCCAGTGCAAAACAAAAACTGCCGGTGAAGAAAATGGAGAAGCAGGAGGAGAGGGCGGTACTCAGACATTTTTTGGAAATTTCGCTTTATTTTCGAGCCTTTAGGAACCCACACCAAGCCCGATCCTGGACACGTGCTCTTTCCTGGACACGTGCTCTTTCCTGGACACGTGCTCTTTGTGCCCATAGGGTAAAAATGGAATAAATGACAGTGACGAAGCCATGACATTGAATAAGGCGAAGTTTAGAATGAGTAGCTATAAAGCTAAACAGTTTAGCTGTGACGCTACCAAGCCTCAATTAGGATCTCAAAAACAAAGGTTTATGGGTGGTACATTTTGCTTGGAAAACAAAAAGGCACTGCGGGCTGTGTGTGGTGGTAAACGTCTTTGCTGATGTCGAGTGAAATGAACAGCTAATTCAAATGTGAGTGTCGCCGATAGTGGGCGTCGTCTAAGCGTCGCGTCGTTTGGATCCCGGCGCCGCGTTCCGTCGCTTAGAGGAGTGCAGAAATGGAGGGATAGAAGTTGGAGGGATAACCGACGAGAGGAAGGAGGGGGGCAAAGTGAGAGCCGTCCGGCGCCGTTGGAGGCACCGAACTAGGCGCCTGCTACCGGCGTCAGCGTCAAAGGACGCTGCCGACGCTAAAGACGCGACGGCAACACCACTTGCTAGAAACATACAGGGATGGAAACGTGGAGGGAGTTGTGAATCCACTTCTTATGGGTCCATATTGGAAACGATGCCTATGTATCAAAATCATCAACCTCAAGTGAGAAGTATTTTTCAAAGGATATCACACAGGAGAGGAACAGAGAAGGAGGGTGAAAGGCAATAACAATATTTAATTACAGGACTACGAAATAAGAGATAAATATGGCCACAAGCTATTATAAAAGGTCCAAACTTGCAGCTATCAAATTCAGAACTTTTTGCTGGTAGAAATTTTCTTGCGTTTAGCTCTCTTCCCATGACTTAATGGATTGCGGTTACAATTCTATCAGCCTCTAATTAACGACAGGTAGTATAGTTTCCAGCAACAGAGAGCAAATGAATGGCATCAAGTAGATTGACTTTCTACGCCTTCATTGGAGGATCCAAAGGAAAGGGATGAGACAAACCGTTTCAACAGGCGAAATCGAATCGTGATTAGGTAGGTTCACTTAGGCACGCTGAATCTTCGACCTCTGCATATCAAGCTATATAAATCAAATCTATCGTATTTCTGTATCACTGAGATCAGCAGCCTGTAACAGTATGTTCCAGCGATTTTATTTAGGCCGCCTCTGAATCAGTCTTCAAAAGCTACGACTACCTAAACGATGAAAGTATTAAGCTCGCAATAATATTCGAACTTCGGTTCACAAATTTTCTGTTGCTTAAAGATATCTGCATCACACAAGTCCATGTTTCTCATTTAAGTCGGTTTGTCAGTCCATGTCTGTTGTATATCGTTGTAAGTACTGAGTCACTCTACTTGACGAAATATTCAGGGAACATAGATGGAGTAACACAAAGTAAAGATTATACGAAATGGTTGGTACATTTAACGATTATAAAATTCAGAAAATATATGTGTAGATATAAAAACAGTTAAGTCATCATTTACAAAAGCATCCCAGAACGCTAAAGTGGTACGTACTACGATAATATCCAAACATAACAAAAATATAAATATTTCTCTTGTAGCGGTTGTCAGTTGTTACCCTTTGCAGTCGGCAGTGGCCTCCACGACGTTGCAGCATCGCGTTGTGCACGCAACGCCATCGATTGCCAAGATAATTAATTATGGGCACATTATACATCGGACTTTTATCATTTAATTTCCCCGTTGTAACCGGTATCAGAAACTTCCCAGTGATAGAACGTCTTGGACTAATACTAAAGACGTTACATTTTCAACCCCCTACCCCTATGACCCCCAACCCCCAAGTTTCAACTCCTACAAACCGTCAAAAAACGAAGTTTAACCGACTTTTATTTATTTCATGATTTTGCTAATAGCCCCGCCACCACTAGACAGATTTTCAAAAATTACAAACCTTTTTCACCATCGGGATAGTAGTAACCTTATTTCATCAAAATACGAGTGGTACTGCGGACAGACAGAAAGCAGGAAATGTCATATAACATCCTAAGAAACATAATATCTTAATTTCAAAATGTTTGACGATTACAATACTTCCTCGCAGGTTTTGGCAAAGGAAGTAAAAAGGACACATTTAAGCTTGCATCTCGCATCTATTGTAGTTGTGTGGCTCAAGTGCTCTTGGTTCTAAAAAAGATTACTAATCAGCTGCGACATGCTTATCCTCCTTTTTGTCTTATGACTCCACAGAAGAATTTTGCTCCCATATCTTCATAGCTAATGGGACAAATCCGACAATCTTGCAGATAAAAAACCTCTGCTTTCGGAAATCCAGACTAACAGAACCCAATAAAAAACCTGGATGTTGCTACTATAACCTACATGGGCTTGTATTTTCAATATGTTAGTATAGAGCAGAAACGTCGACACTTCGCGCCATGTAAATTGATACATGTTTGAGATATGTATGTCGCTGGGGAAGAGTGTTTGGTGCGCATACCTTAGAATGCTTAATTAAATCTGTTATAGGACAATTTAAAGGATAGCTTGTCTACAGCGAATCTTGTGGACTACAGGAATACCGACTATGAGTGTATGTTTTTGGAAACATGCCAAGGAGAAGACCAACTACAGTGTAGAATGTCCTACCATCATCAAAATTCAACGAATTTAGCTCTGCGCAACTATTAAAAAAGTTAAAAATAGAGACGAACGGAGAGGGTGATACTATTAAACCTTTTCGCATAAAAGGTACGCTAAGTGGCATTTTGACGACAGTGTCATACGTACTCAAATGTGTGAATTTTGATGATGGTAGTATCGTGGCAATTTGGTAGTTGGGCTAGTTTATTGATACACAGAAAGGTGTAAAACACTGCTACTCAAAAACTCAGTTCGCTAAGACTGTATTCGCTCTATCTGCAGCTCCCAATTCGCAAAGATATGTCTCCTGAGGCTCTGTCAATCCTCGTAAAAGTGTGCTGAGCCATATAAGGTATTTAAGGTATCAGAAAAGTACAAGGAGATAATGGAATAAACACGTAAATCGAAAGGGAAATATGTAAATCGACAACTGACCGATACTGCCATTTATTTCCTTTTAAGGTGTCGAGAATTAGATACAATCTACTTGAAGAGCATTTCTACAGCTTTTCTCATTATGACACCTATTAACAAAAGACTTTTGTGTAGCAGCTGCGCTATTTCTGTATTTGTTAAAATATCCAAATTTTCCAGTAATGAATTGTTCATCAAATTTGGCGTCCCACAGGGTACGATTTTACGTCCAATGCCTTTCAATACTAGTATTTAAATGATATGATTATTTAAAATTGATTGTGTGGGCAAAATAAGTTTTGCAGATGATACTGAAGTTCATTATAAAGGCGATGATTGGGCTCATTTAAAAAACATAGTTTAAAATTATTTTGCCAAAATTGAGCATTAATTACCCCAAAACGCTAAGACGCAGTTTTACCATCAAAAAACAGAAACATCTTTCTCATAAATTATCAGAAATTGGAAGTTAATACAGTTTCAGATACAAAATACCTTGGAATGTTCATATTTCATATATTTAAAAAAAGAATGGTTTCATAAGATTAAATACCCCAAAAATATCCTATACCTTGATCGAACCACATTTAACCCACGGTATGTTGGCATGAGAGCTGCAAGTTCAATTCATATTTATGATTTAGAAGTCTTCCAAAGAGCGATTTTACGAACAATGCTTAACAAACCAAAATTATATCCCACTGATGTCTTACACAAAAATATTCACGTATATGACATGAGACGACTTTACTTCTTGCATGCTATCACCAACTATCACAAAATTACTAGTAACGATCAAAAAAACGAACACAACCAGCACACAAGACATAAACTATGAGGTACGGTTGTATCTAGATCTAAGAAATCTATAACATAGCGATTTTACGTTTATTTACGACCAAATTATACGAAAATTTACCTGATAATATGAAGAACCTAAGCATTGAGAATAATTTTTAAAAAAATAAAGAATGGGTATTTTCTTTAGGAACGCCAGACATCCACAAACAAATAGTAGATGTAAACAAATGATTCGTTAAATAGATGTATCATTACTTGTGTTTTAACTCTATGGCCCATCTACAGGCAATGAGCCGTATTCATAAAACAAAGGATATCTTTGTCTTGCAAATTTTTAAGGAAATCCTCCGGATGGTATTTATAATAGTTTGAAGTAAATGGTTTTGCTTTTTGAGTATAAGCATATCCTTCAAAGCAGTGACATAAGTAAAAGGATATTCATAATCTTCACCTTATACTTGGCATAGGAAGCATATCCTTCAAAAATTTTGAGTGTGGTCAGTAGCAGACTCAACTTCGTCACGAAAGGTGGTCAAACGATGATGGCGGAAACTCTGGATGTTAACCTCGTTTACCTTCACTTGGTCGTGACTTCAAAAAATTATATCGGTTCGACGAAGCAAATGTACAATGGCTTGCGGACAGAGTTTTAGTTGAGAATGAGGAAACTCGAGTAGGAGCACTTTCATGTATTCATAAAATGAAGATATGTGTACGCTATCTCGGTGACCCTGGTTATAAACAAGGTATTGGTCAGGAACTTGGTGTTACTCAACCAACGGTATCTCGGACTGTGGATAGAGTTGTGAACAGCATAGTTGCACAGTCGAACGAATGGATAAAGATTCCAACTTCCAACCATGAACTGATGGAGGCCAATCGGATATGGCAAAACATGTATAAATTTCCGTCAGCAATTGGTGTAATTGATTGTACACATATAGGAATCCTGAAATCAAATCGCCATGCAGATCAGTATATCAACCGAAAAGGGAAACCTACTTTAAATGTGCAAGAAACTTGTGATGTCAGAGAGATGTTCACAAGTGTTGATGTCAGTTGGCCTGGATCAGTGCATGATTCCAGAATATGGAGAAATTCACAGACTAGATCACAACTTGGCGATGACGGTTATGGTATTGAGCCATGCCTCATGACTCCCTTCAGAAATCCTACTCCAGGTGCAGAAATAAATTATAATAAGCTTTTAAAACAAGAAAGAGTTATAATTAAACGCTGTTTCGGCCAAGTGAAACGCCGGTTTCCTGTCCTACAGTATGTTTGCCGGGTAAAGTTGGAAAATGTAGAATTCTAGTTGAACAAGACCCAGATGAAGATGAAGGAAATCATGAGAATGACGAACTTCCTCTTCGCCAACTAGGTCAACAAATAAGAAGAAACTTGAGTATTATAATAAGTAGTTTTACTGATTAAAGTGTATTTATAAGTTATAATAAGTTTTATTTTCGTGAACATCATAAGTTATAGGTGGCTTCTGACGCTGCATCATTTCTAATTTCGTTTTATAATACTCTTGTTGTAAAATACTTTTTTGGTACTGCTGTAATAGCACTAGACGTTGCAGTTCTTTTGTAGTTAACCCTTTGGTTTCCTCAGTTTCGTATTTCTCTGTTGCTAATTTTCTTTTTGGTGGCAATGTCTTATGAATTGCTGGCGCTGTAATACTAACTCTACTATACTTGCTCACTGCGCTCGGTATATAGTTCACTTCCTTCTTCTTGAACACTACCAACCTGAATGGCACTTCTAATTTTCAAAATTGTAGGATCACAGTCACCTTCTATCTAATGGTTTACCGAATGTTGATTCGTATTTTTTCAACATCTTCTTCACGGCATCGTCTTTTGTCATTTTTATTTTTGGAACTTGTGACTTTTGCAAAATAATGGGAGCAATGGCAATTTCATCTGCGATCATCTGCAGGTCGTTGCCATTATTTTCTATAGTCTCCTCATCACTTGAGGATGACATGCTTATTAATTTGATAATAAACTGTATCTAGTAAAAATACGGAACGGCCTGTGTAAGCTCTGGAGTACCACTGTCAGTGATGCTGAGTGAACGAACTCCCACGTCAACTACAAGCTGGAACAAGTCAGGACGTGTCGCTCAAGATACAAATACCAGTCAACCTTTTACTTCTTCTTGGAGGATACCCTCGCGAGTATAAGGTAATCATTATGAATATGAAAACAATGATACGCTTATACTTCTACCTTTTTCTCCGAAGCAAGTCCTTATACTTTTACCGTATGCTTCCGACGATATGCTTCTCTTTTATGAATACGGCTCAATGCCTCCTATAGACCCTTCTTTCATATTTATCCACTCATTGTTCATATTGTGTTTAAGCAGCAAATGAATATTATTATTAACATTACTTGTGCGCAAGAAGGCCATATTGAATTCTACCCCGAATTTTGCAACCTACCCTGGTACCGGCCAAAACTGGACGCTTCTCGCCGCTCGGAATCTGTCCTGTTGGAAAATTGATTCTGCCGCCAAGCGGGCCAACGCCACCGTCGATCAGCGGCGTGTTTTTGTTTGTCCAGAGCCAAAAAAGGAAGAGGATGCGGGGGTATAGAGATGGTGAGAGGGAAGAGGGATGACGGAGAGAGGCAATTCGTCGTGTTTCATGCACGAACGACCGACACGCCAGTGGCTGTCACTCCGGAAAACGATGGAATTGGGTTGAAGCTGCTAGCTACGAATGCTGCGATTCTATTTTCCCGCTCTACCAGTTTTCATTTGCATGAAGCTGGCGTGGCTGTCAAATGTCACAAACAGCGTTTTTGGGCGTGGAGCTGTGGCGTCGCTCCGTACACTTCCCGCTGACAGCTGCTTCCACCAGTTGTTCATCTCACAGTTTGTTCTAATGTGATCATTCTTGTGTGAAAATGCAATTATTTCAATTAAAAAGTGAATAATCACGATACCTTATAGAATATAGGAATTATTTTTGCCCACAGACGTATGATATTACGTACTCACACAACATAGTTTCTTTAATTTAACTCGCATCAAAATCCATTAGAATACCCAAATATATCTAAAGAGCAAATTGTGTGAAGTAGGTTATTTCTATACTATCCGCATAAGTAACGGTTTGTCCTTGGGATTTAAATTCAACAAATACTGGAAAGAGATAAATTCTTCTTAATTCAAAAATAGCAGCTCTGTAGCAGCTGGACAACTGCAATGCCATCGATTAAAGAGGACCAAGCTGTATGAACATGTGTGTTTTGTGTCTAAAGCAGAGCATGTGATCGAATTCCGAATGATAGTATTAGGGTGGATTTCACCAAGGTTGTCAAATTAACAGTCCGTTATTCTCTACCTATAGGTCCGTCAAATACAGCGAATACCTATGAAATGTTGAAAACAAAATATTGTCAAAGTATGAGATGATAGTTTGTCCTCGAATCATCACCAGCTTATTGAATATTAAGAAATTTCATATAACTCAGTCAAAATTTGAAGAAATGTTTGATTTTTGAATAAAATTCATTACTATTGTTGATATTTTATTCATGTTTATATTATTTTCTTCGATTGATATGCGATTTTACTGATTTAACAACACCTCCGGTGTTATTTTTTCCTATAAACCTCTTGCAGATAGCCATTAAACACCTACTTGATGACAAAAATCTCATAGATATTGCTCGTTTCCAAACATTCATTCATTTACTTGCCGTTCATCGAACCATTATGGCACCTTAGATTGATATTCCAACAAAACCATTCAGGTTTTTTGATATCCATACATCCATAAAGTTGAATATTTTTCGTTGTTCAGGAACTGAACAAACATCCACACTATATTTACAGCGATTAAGAAATACCCATGTATGTCGTAAAGCTACCAGCAAACCTAAAACCTGAAAAAAAACTAGAAATTTGCAATATTTTTATTTTTTCACGAGTACACATTCTAGGTTATATAATTAGACATTATTTGGATAACAGCTGATTATTACATTTCAAAACGCCCCAACGAGTGACACATGTGTGGGAGCCGTCAACCCCTGGTCCCAGTCACAAAACATATATACTGAAGAAGGTTTAATTCTATGCTATTCAATGACAACACGGTGACTTGTGTGGTTGTCAGCGGCCATTTTTTGAGGGTGCGACATGGTTGCCAGATTGTGCATTAATATCCCGTTTCACCCCGCTGGTCCCAGTGGAGTACGCTTCGCCAACTGTTGAAATATACTCTACTATGCTTTATAAGACTATTCGTGGAATTTTTCCAAAAATCGTTGCACAACACTTGAAAAAATGCAAATAAAAATTTAAAATTATTTCCATGACGCCCCAAAATAGCTGCATCGGTACCTCGGGTGATACATCTTGACAGTAGGGATGTTCGATATGATCCTATATTTAGAAGCATCGATACTTTTGCTTCTCATACCCAATATTTTGGATCGATATTTTTATATACGACTCTTGGGTGTATCGATACATTTCACGAGTACCGTCATCTTTCGATCGGGACTGTGACAGAAAGAGTGACTAACTTCAGATTACTTTTCTTCTTTGTTTCCTTCCGCTGGACATCGATAATTTTATGCCAATATTTTAGAGTATCGATACTTCCCAAAAACGATAAGAATCGATACATAACAATACTTTTCGTGGATCTAAACATCCCTAATCTTGACAGCTTATCGTTCTTGTCAACTGGGCTGCAGGGTGCGATGTTGCCTTTACTATCTTACATTTTGCTAAAATCTTATGACAAGTAAAAGCTTCAAAGGAAATATTGACGAATATGAACGGATATGCATAGAATTTAGAACATAAGTTCATATTGCAAATTTCAGATTGTCTATGCATGGACTTGAACCGGATTTTTCGGTATTTTTACCGAAAAGAGAATATTTACCGATAACATCATTCTCCACGAGTTTTCAAAACAATTTAAATATTTCTAGACTTGCCGAAAAAGAGCTGAAACCAAAAATAAAGCTAAAAGTTTGTTTACATTTGGTGTGGATTTCTAGATCATAAATTGGCAGAAACAGTTTTTGATGTAACAAAAGATGATGAACCAGTTGGAATACGTTTTATATCCTTTGTCTTGCAAAATAACAAAAATCGGTACATTTCTACAGGTACGTATTATGTACAACAACCTGTACGTGATATACAGACAAAACCAGATTGCCATGCATAATAATCGTCAAAAACAGTGAAAACATCCTACCAAATATAATATCTAGAAAATCGACTTATTATTTGCCACATTCCCATTGGTCCCACTTAAATAACAGACCATTTTTGTGAAATTGGACATTCTATGAAAGTTATCTTAATTCTAAAGCACAAAGATATGATATTACATCTATAATGTACCCTTATTTATAAGGCAACCGTTTTCTCACGACTTTATTCAACATTTCAATAGAAATCACTGATATTGAGAGAGCTTTGAAAGCTTCTGTCAAATTGCATTTCGATAAGGTTTTTTCCTTTTGGTCCAACTGACCGTCAAATATTAATGTTTGTGAAATTCTCCCTTAATTTATTATAAGTTAAGGACATCAATGGATTGCCTGTAGTGTATTAGTTGCGAAATGACACAGGAAAATTAATGGTTCTTCATATTGATCAGTTTTACTATTTAGGCACTAAATTGGAAAAGCAGTCAGTAATTTTGTTGCCAATGACTAAAAACCCATCAAACTAATATACTATAATAATACAAAAATTCGTAATTGATGAATCGTCTATTCCTAACCAAAACGTTACCATTTTTATTTAATGAAAATTATATAGCGAATTTGCTACAGTGAGGCCTTTATTAGCAAGCCAAAAATGAATAAAACTTACCTAATGAAGTCTGAAGCAGCATTCCTGAAAATTAAAAATAGTGTCAAAGATATTTTCAAAATTTCAGCTTATACCATTTTGTATTTATTAAGTTCTGTAAAAAGGTCTTCAAGATGGAGGCCGTTACTAACACACTGCTGTAAACGCTTTTGAAGCTCTAAACGACTTAAAGCCTATCACGTCAAATTGTGATACGGCATACTGACAATAAAGGCATTGATTGACGTATTCTGCCTGAAGACAACCAAACCTTATACTGTATTCCCGCGTCCAAAAATTTATCAAAGACGAAATTTGATACTCTTTGAAACTGCGTAGTTGTTTCTCCCGCACCCAGTATCATCCAACGAACTTTTCTCCACTTTATGAATGTTATAAGCAAATACAATCAATACCCTAAAGAAAAAGACTAACGGCATTTAATATAAAAATCAATACGGGCCATAAATTCAT